TATATATATATATATATTTCCTTAATTGAAAACAAAATTATCTGTTTGAAAATTTCAAATCGCACAAAAAGCTGCAAACTGTCTAACCAGAAGTCATGAAAGTAAAGGCCTCGAAATTTGCTATTGTCAACATTTGTATTAAAACATTATCCATTACTTCACATGATAATATACAACCCGACTGGAAGACACGGTTTAAAGTTAAGTCTCCACTATGAGGAAAAAATTAAACGTATTTAATCCACAATTGGAATTTTGGATAATCGAAAAAGCAGAAGTCTTAATTAAGGTGATTTTAAGAAAACTCTGTGTTTAAATTTTATTGGGGATGGGGGAGATGTGTGTCTATCAATCACAATTTAAATTTTATATACAGTACGGAACACGTTATCCGGAAATCAGAAAACCAAAAAACCGGAACAAAATTCAATCAATTTCCCCGCCATTTTTTAAAAAAAAAAAAAAATTTTTTTCCTCATAAGATTTTACTTTCTTTTTTGAAAGACGTTTACCTTACCACCATTTTGGAAATAATCATTAGTGTATTACTTTATCGTTTTTTCTTCTTTTTAAGATTATTTCCAACTATTTGTGCTTTTTTTAGTTGGGTTTAACAATAAGAAAACGGCTTTTTGTATCGATTCAGAAAACCGGAAAAATCAGTTATCCGGAATAGCGATGGTCCCGATCGTTCCGGATAATCGATTCCCTACTGTAATATGATTTAGCAACAGCTATAAATTAGCTCATTGGAAGACACAGCTGTTAGATTACGCCGAGAAAAAAAACTGATTGGACTTCAATTGTATCACCCCAGCAGACAACAGTCCACTTCTAATTAGTTCACACAATTATATAACACAGCAAGTAAAATGCAGCTTTGCACCTAAACTGAGCACCCTAACTATAATCGGAATTCTGAATGGTCCTAATTAGTCCCAGTTAAAGGGTTGGTATATATACGTAATCTGTTTGCGCCAGCTATTGTTGGCGCCACAGGAATTTTAAACTTGTAGAGGTTATTTGCAAGGTAGCAATGAGTTATTATACCCATCAAGTTGGCCCCTTGTGATTCTTTTTTTTTTAAAAATTTCTTGTGTCCGGAAGACAGTACTAACTTGACGATTATTATTTTGCTATAGATACAGATACTGAAAATTTACTGGCACGGTTATATGGTGAATGTTTGATAGCAATCATAAATTAGAACAAATTACTAATTTATCGAATTATAAAAAAGATAACAATTACAATAAAGAAATTAACTACTAAAAAATCATTAAGTTAAATTATGCAATAATTTTAAATTTGAGTATTAGAGTTGACATAGCTACACAAGATTATCATTCATCGAAGTTCTTTTAATTACTAGTAAAATCTCTACTGTAATGATTTTCCCACCACAATATACAAACAATTTAAACAATAAAAGCTAAGCGATAGTTAATCGTAACAATTTAATGAATGAGAAACTGACAGAGAAAAATCCACAACCCCTTAAAAAACGCAGTTATCTTTAAATTGGTACATTTAATTAAGGATAAATAAATAAAAATATATCACAAAAACCTTCAGTTACAGCAGCAAGAGAAAATATAGTAATTAAAACTATTTTTTCTAGTTACTCTGCAGTTAGTTAAATTCAGATAAATTAGCTTACTCAAATTAATATAGATTATGTAATTTTGAATATTCATATGCTTTTTAAATAAGTTTTATTTTATGATTTTATTAACAATATAAGCAATGGCTAGTGAAAGATATCAATATTATGATTCCGCAAAAACAATGACTACTTCTTATAACTAAAAAAATATATGGTAGATCATTTATAATGTATTGATGGATTTAATAAAAAATCTCATTTTAAGTAGTTAAAGACTGTTTATTAATGAAAATATTTTTAAAAAAATCATGCTATTTAAATTATTCATTGAGATTTGTACCTTTAAGTACAATACAATTATGCTTATTTAATAAAAAAAATGAGTTTATACTTTCAGAAAATTGACAGAGAAGACTCTGAAGTAACAACGATTATAAATGATTTTTTTAAATATAATTTTTAATCAAAACAATCTATTAACAAAATTGATAATAAAATCAATGTTCAATAAATGTTTTATGTAGTTTATAATTAAAAACATGTTTTCTCTTCTATAATACGTTTTTTTGAAATTATCTATCAATAACATGTGATTTCAATATATGCCTCAATACATATATATCTTTAAATATTGATCTCAATATTATATTGGTTAAAAGATCATTCAAATAAAAATTAAATTTAAAAAAAATATACATAAATTTATAATTGTACTTAAAACATCAACATGTGTTATTTATTTAGTTATAAGGTCATTCTAATAAAAATCAATTCACAAAAAGTCATAAATATTTATCATACATAAAACATGAATCAATGTATTGATTTCTATATATTTAAATAAATTATCATTTTAATAACGTACATTATAGAAAAAATTCTGATATATTTGCCATCATTTATGAAACATTTATCTATGTATTGATTATTTTAATAAAAATTATTATAGAGGAAAAAACGTACTTTTTATTGTATAAAATATTAACGTGAACATCGATTTATCTAAATTAAAAATTATCTTAATTAAAGTTAATATTAAGAAACCCATATGATATTTTTATTTTATTTTAATTCCTCAAAATATTCTTCTCCGAAAATCTTTTGAAAGTATTGACTCTATATTTTTTATATAAGAGAATTATTAATAATTAAATTCATCTTTAAACTAACTATATAAACATGCTATAGGCTTTGAATATTTTAAATAGAAGTAAAAATTAGAAATTTTTAGAATTATCAATGTGTAGTTAAAAAAAAATACTAAAGATTCTCAAATACTAATGATTCGAAAATCCGCATGAATATAACTAAAGGTCTTTTTAATAAAAACCGATTCCGTAATAAATACGTTCAATAACAACAACAATGAATAAAAGATATCATTATTAATTAATAACTTTAAATAATGAATAGCGTAAAGAATTTAAGGAATTTCAAATGTCAGAAAGAATTGAATTTGACTGCACACACAGGGAATTCATTATTTGTGTTACTTTTTTAATATATTTGGAGTAAAAATATAGTTAAACAACAAATGTATTAATTTTATGACAGGGTTCATAAAATGTTAGCACATACCTGTACAAAAAAAAATAATTTCTTCGATTTCTTGTGCTTTGTGATTGATCGCACAAATTGATCAGCGTTAGTGTTTATAGAGAGTAGTTCAGGTCATTTTTAAAAAAATCTATACAGATCAGCTGTGCTTAATTGCACCTGTCAAAGTCAAACTTGTAAATATTTTATTATGTCACCTGTATTCCCGGTATTTTATTGATATTGTCCGATATTAAAGAAAAACTGAACAAATAATTTTCGGCGTTAGCAAAAATTATCGAACTTACCGATCGTTACGGCGGTCACTTTTACCCTTCCCTACTACTCCTATTCTCAGTTTGGCACACCCAAATCACTAAAGATGGCGCTCAAGTGACGTCAGATACACAGGAAGCCGTAAAAGCCGCAATCCGTTCAAAGTCAATCACGACTCACGTCCGTGAAATATGCTCATAATTGCAAAGAAATTGAGAAACCCAAAAGAATTTCCATTAGAATATGTGAAAAGCATTCGATCTTTTACTGTACTTTCTGGTGAAAACACTGCAAAGGTTTATTTCGAAGCAACATGTGCTGATGTTTACACTGTTTCGCTTCGTACGGCCTACTTCTACGAAACTGACACCCATGCGAAGGCTAAGCAGAAACTATCCTTATATGGCACGCCGTTCGCAATCTTTATTAATGCATTTTCATAACCCAACAATGAAGAATTCGAAACACTTGTAGTAGTAAAAATAAAAAGATGTTATGAGTTTTTGTTTCTGTTTGGTAAAAAAGGAGTTAAAATCGTCTTGGAGGCAAGCGTGGTTGCCACATTTGATTCTGTTTCGCATTTTGGCAACGTTTTGCTTTACGCTCATTGAACGATAGTATAGTTTTTTTTTCTTCTTTCGAATATTAATAATAAACAAGACCTGGATTTTGATGACATTTGCCTATATCGAATCTTTTTCTCTTTTAGAGCATTTTCTGAGATTTTTTAGAATGCTTTTTTCTTTAAAAATTTTTTATAAGTAAATATTTCATGAGAAAAAAATTTTTAAATTTTTTAATTTTATTTCATATTGACTATTTGCAAAAAGGAAGGAAAAAAAATCATTGTAGGAGTCAATTTTTAACGAAATTTTCTCTTTCGAAATTTTATCTTCTTTCGAAATTTTATAATTTCATATTAAATTAAAATAGCATCTAAATTTATTTTTATATATTAATATATTGTAGCTTCACATGATAATATACAACC